TTTTTTTTTGACTCTCAAGGGTCGTTTTTGTAGGGCGATTTCGCTTCTGGTGATCAATGCCGAAATATCCATTTGTATCATATGCACGAAGGTGGAGCATGGGTTGTGGATCAACGAGCTCTCACTGGTCACGCTGGCAAGTCTTAGTTTTTTTTTGTCTAACTTTATTGTTTCTTTCACCGCTCACCTCTTTTCTACGTCATTCAAGTCTATCAGTGTAAACTTTGTGCAGGGTCAGTTGAGGACGTGCACTGGTCTCCTACTGAAGAAGGCTTGCTTGCATCTTGTTCCTGTGACGGTACAATAAAGCTGTGGGATACTCGGTCGAGTCCTGCAGATGCTTGCGTATGCACTGTCGAGAAGGTATTTATCCGGCTTTAGATCCGTTCATTTATTCAACTACTTCAGGCACACACTTCTGATGTTAATGTTATGTCGTGGAATCCACAAGATGCATTAATAGTCAGTGGTGGAGATGATGCTGATTTGAAAATTTGGTCTTTGAAGACGATACAGGTAAATTCCTATCATTGGCTGCCACTTTGGGAATCGTAGTTTTTTATGTAGTCTATCTGACATTGATAACTTTCTTACAAGGGAACGATACTTAGTGTCCGCGACCTTTGAATTGAAATGTATTCCATTACACTCGCCTTCGAACGCTGATTCTGAAACTAATTAGTCTGCTAGTCATTTCTTTGAAAGAAGTTATGAAGGATTTTCGCCAGGTTTGGCTGCCCGAGACATGGTAGAAACACCGATACCGCCGGTAGGTGTAGTGGCTAGTGCGAAAGCCACAAGTTGATGCAGGCGTAAACTCGGATCCTTTTGTGTTTTCAATTCTGCATTGCCTTAGTCAAACTCCTTTTTGGAAGTTAGGCTTCCTCGAGGTTAATGCATATCCTTACTTTTTCAAAATTCAACAAGGAGTCATTCTTACATGAGTGCTTTTTGTGTTTACTCCAAAAAGTGCATATAAAAATGAAAATGAACGGGAAATGATTGCATGTCAATTTTTCATGTTGTTGTTACTATCGTAACTCTCTCAGGCGGCCATACTTGGGGCGAAAATCCTTCAAGAATCCTTCAGAAAAACGATTAGCAGGAAACGGAAGTCAGATTGAGAATCAGCGTTCAAAGACGAGTATCATGGTGTACATTTCACAAAAGGCCACGGACACTAAGTATCGTTTTTTGTTAGATATTATCCAGAGAAGGTCTCTGGCGTTTCGCGCATTTGCAGTATTGAAAGTGCTTTTCCAGTTCGGGCAGCCAGTTGCACGCTTCAAGTATCATTCAGCTCCGATTACATCAGTTGAATGGTTACCTCAGGTGCGTACATTTTGTTCTTCTGGTATGATTCTGAATCATTCAGTGAATTATTAGATGATTTGTTTAGGAATCTACTACATTCATGGCTTCTGGGGAAGACGATCAAGTGACTATCTGGGATATAGCTACTGAGGCAGACACACAAGATGCTGTGGAAGGCGTACCACCACAGTTGATGTTCTTACACCTCGGTCAAAAGGAAGTAAGCAAACTATAGAGCTTTTGATTTGTTGAAACGTAACTGTGAAAAAACCTTTCAACAATGCCATTGGGAGCTATTTATTTGTTGATTTGTTTATGTCATGCACATAAGGCCTGCTAAGATGGGCATAAGAAGTTAAGAGGGATTTTCAACTAACTGATTTGATATGTTCAGTATAATTTAATCATACAACACCTGTGCACAAATATGGGTACATTAGACATGTAGCACTATTCTGACAAAGCCAGTGAAGGGATCGGGGAGGGGGAAGGGTGGGGTTATCGAGGTGATTGATTTATTAACAATTACTTTTAATCCTGTGCAGTCCGTTAATTCTCAGATTAGGGTTTTGTTCTCTCAGCTGTGTGAAAGGTCCATACCGTAGCGTAAGATTTCGGCAAATGCCATGCGTGAATATTAAAGTGGCGAGCATTGGCACATTATGTGCATGTATCTATGTGCCACATCTTACCGTTTATCTTCCGTTCCATAGGCAAAATGCATCAAACACTATTGTATATGGGACACGAAACGTTGTTGTTGCAGGTGAAAGAAGTCCACTGGCATCCGCAAATTGCTGGACTTGCTCTAACAACATCCTTGGACGGTTTCAACGCTTTCAAAACGATCAATATATAAACAAAATCCGTCATTGTCATGAGAACTTGTTATGTTAGTTGTTACCTGTTACCATTGTTGCTTCTGAGAGGTGTTGAATTGCTATCTTGTTACTGTTATCGCATGCAAAAGAAGTTATTGACAATATTATTCCGATTTTCACTATATTTTTTTCCATGTGAATTTTTGCCATGAAGTTACTTGCTGCTTGTTGGTCGCAATCATCGCTAGACGTTTCAATTCAACAATACAGCAGATGAAAG